TGTGTGTCCGTGTCTGTGTCTGTGTGTGTGTGTTTTTTACAGTTTGATGAATCAGTTTTTTATTTTTCTTTCTTTGTTTCTTTTTGCTCCTTTTGCTTTCAGAAAAAAAAAAAGTTGCACTCTGTTAAGAGGTTTTTTTTAATTTATTTATTTTTTATTGTTAGAATATTATTTGTGAGTTGTTCCACATCGTTCGTACATGGAAAATAGACCCACCTTATAAGTCTAATGGGCTACTACTCTTTCAACCCCATTTGGACGTCATATAGGCTTTTCCCGCTCATGGTGCGCTTCCTGTTAGTGGGTCCGCATCCGTTTTTCCTTCCGTTTCATTCACTTATTAATCTTTTTTGGCCTTGTGAAAATTGAGGTTCTTTTGTTTGTGATTGTCACTTAACTTAAGCTAAAGCCATTCTTTTTCGTGGAGTCACTTGGAAAGGGAAAGAGATAATATATTGCAGTAGAGAGAGAGAGAGAGACAGAGAGATTTTTTTGCAGAGTGCACGCGGTGTTTAGCAGAGGTGTAGAGAGAGAGAGAGAGTGCCCTATTGTGTGTATATGTGTGTGTATTTCTGTGTAGTATTTTGTAACTAAACATGACTAACCTTAGGCGGGCCAATATTTCAATACTCGGTTCAATTGGGCTCGATTCGATAAGATTAAATTATATATGTATACTATTTTGTAATTCATGTCATTAAAATTTGCATTTCACTCATCATAACTTAAAACTTAGTACTCTTTTTTATTGATAAGCGAGTTGAGTTTGAGCTTTATTATTACTCGTTAATTTAATGAGTCAAATCGAACTCGACTCGTTAAGAAACCGAGTTTGAACTCAACTATGTTCATTTACATTCCTAGGCACCTAATAGATATGCAATTGGATTAAGTTCTTCTTTTTTAAATACATATAGATTTTTAAATTGAAATGTTATTCATTGAAACTGATATTAATAAAAATGTAAAGTTTGATAGTAAATATTAGGGAAAATGTTATGATCCCGTTGAACTATCTCGTCGGGTGTACTGACTACATGTTCAGTTAAAACTCCCAATTAAAACTCCCGACTGGATGATTCCGTAACGAGAACGTACCGTAAGTCGACTGTAAGTTTACCAACAATTGTTTAATAAATTCGTGATTATTTAATAAATAAATAGGGGGGATTGGGATTGCCCGTGTTTATAGATTTAGATAGCTTTTTTTTCTTTTACCTTCCCAATGAAAACTCTCGCTTTCTTTTCTTTCACTGCCACTGAGCCACTGCCATTACTGGCAAAAACTAGAGAGAGAAATTAACAAGAAGCTTTTGGAATTCTTTTGTTTGTGTGTGTGTGTATATGTGTGAGAGAGAAAGAGACAGGATTAAATAAATAATAGTAGTATTAATTTTATAAAACTAAAATTAAAATTGATGTAAAATATAAATATATATATATATAATTAATGAGAAGAAAAAAGTCAAAAACAGCGTCGACGAACGATCAAATCGAGGTATGGTT